GTAACAAATGTATTTAAAAAAAAAAAAAAAAAAATTACTAATTGTTTTGCAAATTACACCAAGTTTTCACTTGCATTATCATTGTAACTGTTGAAACTTTGCACTCAAGTGACTTTTTAATCAATGAGTAATTGTTTATCGAATGATGCGAGATAATGTAATTTTCAGTGATAATCGAAATAATTTAAGAGCGAACGACAAATAAAAAAAGTAATTGTATCACCTCGTTACGAAAATTACAAACGTGTCTTGTGCATATTTAACTTTGCTCAAGCTTTTTACTGCGCGCGGCTTGTTTTGAGGCAACTTTGAAATAATATTTACCGAAAGTTATTTCAACTTTATACATCCATTGTTCGGCAAAAAATTACACTTTTTTTTTCTTTTTTTTTTTTTTTTGTAACGCTTACGCATCTTTATTTCTAACTAAACAAATAAAACTATAAGAATTAGTTGGACAATAAACTCCGAAGTACGGTTAGATTAATTGAATGGAATGCGATGATTCAACGTTAAAGAACATTAATTCAAGAAATTGTGGCTTACATGCACGGATTGTTGATAACAGGAAAACAGCTTACCTTTTTTTTTAAAACCTAAAAAACGTCCTATGTATAGTATTATGAGTAATTAAAATTTATTTCGATTACGTGTTATTCAAAACGATTTTATTTCTTCAATTGTCATGTTTTGTCACACCAATTTATTTATTTGTCTTATTGTTTTACGTCATCGATCGACACTTATTGTTTCAGTGAGAGATACAATGAATTTTAAATTTAATTTTGAAGTAGTATAATTGAAAGAAGTGTGATTCCGTCATAAAGTGTTGGAGGAAAAACAGATAAGAAATAGTCATTTTGTTTCAGTGAAAATCGCATTATTATTATTCTCAATACTCTCGATATACAGTAGTAATAATCATAATTATTACAAATCAGTAGGTACAGGAACAATTTGTTCATTCGTGATGATAATCAATGGTGATCGAATTGCATTATTCGTCGTATAAAAAAGATCGAAACGAACAAAGAGAGAAAAAAATAACGTCGTTAATTACAAAAAAAAAAAAGAAAAAAAAAAGTGAACGAAAAAACGTTTGTTACAGTGTCTTTTATACGCAGCAGTCCGACGAGTTGGACCGTTTATTGTACACTCGAGTAATATTTTCTTTTTTTTTGCGCTTAGTGTAATATTTTGTACAATGAAGAACTCGAGAAAACGGAATCCTTTTGTTTCTTAATTAATTTATTTATTTTTTGTACAAAATAATAATTATTTAAAAAAAAAAGAGAGAGTTGAAAACGTTATAATTTATACATGTAAATACATAACGTTTTGACGGAGCATCGACACACTCATCATCTTCATCACACACTCGCGCACATTTTTTCCATCGATGAAAATCACTCGATCGTTTATTCGTTATAAGAAGTCTTTTTTTTATATATATACCTTTATACAATCAACATATACGTCTTCTACTTAAAAATTCTCTTTTGTCTTCATCGCTTTAAATAAAGGATTAGGCGCCTCGTTTTCGTTCGTCTTGTGCTTTAACTCTTTTTACTTTAATCTAAAATAATACTAGATACAAAAGTCGTCGCAAGATATTATTATTTCCCGTTTATAAAAATTGTTTGACAAAGGAAAAAAAAAAACGTCATCATTTGGATCTGCAACCGAAAAATTCGAGCAAACGCACTCGGTATAGCAAAGAGAACGCATATACACACATCCGCAGTTTGGGCTTCAAAGGTTCGACGGCTTACTGCACTATAAAGGCACAATCTTCCTTTTTTTTGTTTGCATTATTTTTTTATTTTTTCATTTTTTTTTTTTTTTTACTAGCAATTCCTTCGAGCGCACGTAAAAAACCATATACGCTCCCTTTCCAAGCCAGAAAGTTCAAAAAACTATCAAAATTTTGTATTCCTTTGGAATTTAAAAAAAATGTATATTTCGACCGATCTATGATGATTTTGTAGCGACACTACTTTTAGACACAGATATAAAACTATATAACTTTCTAATTAAACGTCTTGAGAATTCGCTTTTGTACTGTTAAAAAGTTGCTATTTTTTTATAGAATAAAAAAAAAATGTCCTAGCATGCTTAGGAGCCGAGACGACTTTTTTTTTAAAAAACCTAAGCCGCTAATTATTAACTTATCCGGCTGAAACTTGCACATGTTGTTGTTCAATACTTATGTTTTCATACAAAAAATAGTACCGGCGCTCGCAAAATTTCTAGTTTCAGTGAAGGAGGGAGAGCTACAGCGGTGGCATACATAATAACAATTGTCACCTTCTATTATATATTGTCAAGTTACCCTAAATCGATTCCAAAAGGATTTTTTTACGTGCAAGAAAAGCTGAGAAAATTATATTATAGCAAGCATAGAAGATTTGAAACTACTTGCTCTCTTTTCGCCAAGCTGCGCTTAAAGAGCCATCGCCGCCGCAGTGGCTCTCTCCCCTCCACTAAAACTAGGGATCCGGTGCGCGCCGCGAATACAGTACTTATTGTTTTACCAAGATTTCATTGTTATCTGGCTGCATACAGATCGATACTATTTTTCTTATAAAAATATAAGTATTGAACAACAACATGTGCAAGTTTCAGCTGGATGGATTACTAATTAACGGCTTAGGTTTTTAAGAAAAAAAAGTCATCTCGGCTCCTAAGCATGCTAGGATTTTTTTTTAATCTATAAAAATNTTTCAATTCGTACGTATAAATTAGTCGTTAAAAAAGAGTGGCGTTAAACGCGCCTTTTGTTCAAGTCTTTCACACACAATGAAGAGGAAAAATTAAAAAATTAATCAAAAAAAGAGCGAAGAGACTTCGACTTTTTTTGGTTTTGCTTGATCCTTTCAAAGTTCTCAATATCTTTCTTTCACGGGTTAAAATTACAATATCTGCCTTTTTGTTTATTTCGTTGTATTTACATTACTGATAGAGGCCTACGCACAATTTCGGTGCTCATATTTTTTGCCAACCACGTATATCATTTTTACATTTAAAACTATACAGTCGATTGTCCGTAATGCTGAATTTTAAATAATTAAACGCTAAACAATTTTTTGTCACGTAAAAATACTTAATTAAAACAAAAAAATCTTAACGCATGACGTTGTTATTATGTACAAACAGTGGTGTTTCGCGATCAAATAATAATAAAAACAGTACAGCCGCGAAAAAAAATACTTCGCACCGAATCTGATTATCTCTCGTCTGTACTACACGCTCGTTTTTTTTTTTTTTTTTTTCTTTGAAAAAATAATAAAAAAAAAAACAATTGAGAAATCAAACAATGAATTCTGCGTACGTTTCTCACTCGATGTACATTAATTAGACCGTTGATCGCGGGCGTTCCTCTCGAAGGACCCTCGTGTGGAAGCGCTTCGGAAAAGAATAGAGCGAGCTCCTCCTGGAGTCCACCGTCCACTCTTTTTTTTTTTTTTTTCGTTTGTTCAAACAAAAATCGACGGTGAAGCATGTGTACAAAAATGGCAAGCGGCGATTACTTTATTCGAGAGCCTTCACCTGTGCCATTACTTTGCCCTCCCACAGCGGCAGTACCTCGGCGTCGTCCGTTATCTCCTCCTGGATGACTTTCATGTCCAAGTCTTCGCACTCGGTTTTAAAGAAATATCTGCAACACACGTGGAAAAGAATCAATAAATATTCCGCTCAGCTTACTAGTCGTGAAATCAAATTGAAAAAAAAAAAGACGAGATCCCTACCTGTAGCTGCCTTTCTTCGGAAGGACGTCCTTGAACTGCTTGAGGGTGACGTTGTAACCGGGTATCTTGGTCCTGTAGGGCACCTTCTCCTCGCAAAAGCTGAACACAACGGTGGTGAACTCGCTCGGGGCGTCTTGTTTGCCCCGCCTGAGGGTCGACTGGCTCGACTGCATACACGACGACAAAGCCGGCTGCATCGGGGGCGGTGGCGGCTGCTGTTGCTGCAACTGCTGTTCGTAATCCGACAGCTGCTTCGTACTCGTGCTCGAACCCGGGTATCGCTGTCTATTTCGATTCTGTTCGTACTTCTCGTACTCGAGCCGTCTGCTCGCCTCTTCCAGCTGCGTTGGCTGTAACAACAATGGGCAAAAACGTTAACCTCGTTTTTTTTTTTTTTTTTTTTTTTTTTTTCTTGTAAAAATTGCGGTTACACGTGTACTCACAATGTGCGGTTGCGGAAGCAAAGGCATGCCTGGATCACCAACAAACGGTTGTTGGGGCGCGTTACTGAACTTCTTGCGGCTACTGCTGGGCTTGGCGCTAACAGCTATGCTACCGCCCATCGACGTGGCGTCCACCTTACACCCGGCCACGGCGCCGTCCGTTTCTTTCAGCCAATTGAGCAGCCGGCTGTTGTTCTCCTTGAAGCCGGCCGGCGGCGCGTCGCTCACCACCGACACTCCGCTGTCCGTCAGTTCGGTCATCGACTTTTTCGTCGCCGACGAGCGCGCCGCGTCCAACCTTCGATACCTCGGATCTTGGCCTAAAATCCAAAATAAAAGCGTTAGTTTTCTTTATTTTTTCCATGGCGCACGCAACAATCAGAAACGGGACGTCGGTGTCGCTCTCTACCTTGGAGGTACAGATCCTGCTTGTGGAGCGAATCGGCGTAATCCGAGGGCACGGATTTGCTCTTGGGTATGTGGTGCGAGCCCAACGAGCTCATACTGCCAGCTGCGTGTAGCTCACCCGCCTCCGGGAAATCATGTACGTTACCACTGTCCCCGGAGAAGGTCGAGAACACGTCCTTCTCTTTGCGCTGGCTCCTATAAACCGGTGGCCTCGGCGTCGCTCCCGCCATCGACATCTGCTGGTGCATCTGCATCTGGCTAGTCATCATCTGCTGCTGGAGCTGCTGCTGCTGTTGCTGTTGATGATGTTGTTGCTGCTGCTGCTGCTGCTGTTGCTGTTGTTGTTGTTGTTGTTGTTGTTGTTGTTGCTGCTGCTGCTGTTGCTGTTGTTGTTGTTGTTGTTGTTGTTGTTGTTGCTGCTGCTGTTGTTGCTGTTGTTGTTGCAGGCGGCGACACTTGTCGGGGGATCTTGGCCGGGGTGACGAGAGCTTGGGTGAACGCGAGGGCGTTAGGTCCGACCAGACGCGCGAGACGTGCTGGTCGAGGATGGCCTGGTCGCTGTCCTCCTCGAGCTGCAGCTTCTCGCGCAGAGCGTCGGCGAAGTTGCGCGACTGGAGCCCACCCGTGCTGCCGCTGCCCATGCTCATGCAGCTGCTCGACAGTTGCTGGTGCTGTTGTTGGTGGTGAATCGACACGCTGTTCAAGCTCGAGCTGTCGCACATGCTATCGCTGCAAGGGTAACAAAAAAACACGGACGATCGTAATTAGCTCGTGAGCATGAACCGTGTAGGATTATTGCATAAGGGTAAAAACGTACTTGTGGCTCATGGGCGGTTCGACTTCTCTGAGCTTGTGCACGAGCTTCTCGTGCTTCTCCCTCTCCACCTGCAGGCGTTTCAGCTTTTCGATCAGCAGATTGGCGAAAACCTCGGGCTTCATCGGCTGGGTCTGCTCGCGGGACAACTTTTGCGTTCGTTGCACGAAATTGTCTTGGGGCATCGCGTCCCGGTTCATCGTTGCCGATCTCTTCATCTGCTGGTACTGCTTGGCGTACTGTTTGCGCGTGGTCGGTCGTCTTGACATCGATGCGCTGTCGCTGCTGTTGGCCGGATTGATAAACACACTTATGAGATTCACGAACTGCTTTTCTTTTCATCCCCAAGTTGACGGTACTTTTTTTATTTATTTTTTTTTTATTACACTCGTATTGGGACTTGAATTTTTTTTTCATCAACAATAAAAAGTTGGGTTTTACACGAAACCAAACACACATAAAGGATAAAAAAACAAACAAACGAAATGTCACGTTTGTGCTAACCATAATGTTTTTACCTGTCAACTTGGGATTCAAGTATACGTTATATGATGTATTTTGTTTTGTTTGGACATTGAGACATCCATGCAAGACATAATCATAAAGTGACAAAAAAACGTCAAGCATTGATAAATACATCAAAGTAAGGATGTAGAATGAAAAAAAAAAAAAAAAAAAAAAAAACCAAATGAAAATGATAAAAACTTACAGAGACGCGTCGGTGAGCGAGAGATTATCAGACTCGGTGCGAGCGTCGCTGCTCAAGCTCTGGAGTTCCGAGTCCTGTCTCGAGACCGGATTGTACGAGCAATATTGGGCGCGCGGTCTCGTTGGCACCGACGCGTGATAGGGACTAGCTCCGTGTTGCAGGTAAACGCTACACTCGCCACGTCGCACAGTAACAACAATCACAAACAAGAACGTAACGACGGCGGGTGCAAGCGGTAGGTGCAGTGTGACACAACGATCAACAACATGAACAAAACAACAACAAAAAAAAAGGAGAAAAACAAATGAAAAAAACGAAATTTTAGGGGCTGAGTGGCTCAGGCAGAAGGTGCAGGATGATACATACCCAGCATAGGCCTCGGGCTTTGGCCTGACTCTGACGTCGAGAGCCCGGTACTGCTGCGTGGCCATGAGTATGTCTTTGGTCAGTCTCATCTCCGCCTTGGCAAAATCTTGGCTCACCGGCATCGCCGAGCTCTCGCTTCGACTTTCCGACGACGCTTGCTGCTGGTGATGAAGGTGATGCTGTTGCTGTGACGAGAGCTCACCTAAAAAAAAAAAATCAAACAATTATAAACCATAATGATCGGTAAATGAGCACAAGAAAAAAAAAAAAAAAAAAAAAAGCAAAACTCACTGTCTTCGTGTAAAGTGGGCAGCAAGCTGGACGCGCACGACAACGAGGGCTCGTCCGGCGAGCTCGGGCACTCGTTGCTGTTGTCCGCACCACCGGCACCACTGGCGACGTCCTCGTTGCCGAGCTCGCGATCCTTCGTGGACGACGACAACGACACCGAGGACCTGCCAATAGCGGCGTTTTGCTCGGCGCACTGGCAATTGCGCACGTACTGGAGGTAAACGTCCGAGCGCAGGAAGTTCCGATAAGCCGTCTCCTCGAGTAGACGCTCGATCTCCCGCTGGGCTTGCTCGAACATGCCCTGGTTGAAGCGCTTCTCAGCGCGAGCCTCCAGGTAGCGTTGCGTCACCTCCTTGCGCAACTCTTCCGGCAGTAATTCTAGCTTCGATTTCTGGAAGAACCTACGACAACCGATGGAAACGACCACATACATACAGTTGGTCCAAACGATGTTGACGGAGGGTAGGCTGGCAACTCACCTTCTGTAAAGGACCTTGTAGAGAGTCTGGAGTTTTTTGGGATCCCGCTCCTCTTTGAGACCCTCGCAGGCGAACCAGAACGACAGGGCCTGGTTGTCGCCCTCCTGCTGCAGGTAGTGGTTGAAGAGCTGGTGGCCCCGGTTGTCCTCGAGCAGGGCGCGCAAACTTCGCGTCCATTGCAGACACGCCAACGACGAGGCCGACGATGGCGTGCCGCTACTCGTCGCCTCGTCTTTTCCCTTGTTGTCGACCACACAACCGACCTCCATGACGACTGGCTGTTGCTGATGGTGTTTGACACTTGGCCTACCGCCGTTGACGTCGTCGTCGTCGTCAGCGGCAGCGTAGCAGCAGCCACGACCCTCCAGCTCGAAACCCAATGGGGCTGAGTTACTACTGCTGCTGGCCGAGACGATGAAGCTCGTCGTTTTGTGATTGGCATCGCAGCTCGTGCGCCTCGACTGCTGCAGCTGTTGTTGTTGTTGTTGTTGTTGCAGTTGCGATACAGGCGCATCCGGATGTTGTCGATTATTGCTGATGCTGGACAACGACTGCTGACACCTGCCTTGGTAACCACCCCTTTCCTCGCCTGTGGGCACCAGCAAATACGAATTTCGTGAGAATTAGCTTCGGAGATGGAGAGTTGGGAGGGTTGGTGTTATTTATACTCACCAGGAACAGGGGGCCTGGGAGAGTTCTCGTTGAAACAGCGCGATTCGGATGGTCGAGGTCCACTCATTCTATTTATCGCGACTTGCGCGTGATCCTTGCCTGTCTGTGCTGAATTTCGATAAACGGCGCCACTTACAGGACATGGCTAATCTGAACCTGCAACAAAAAATCAAGAAATGGATCTTTAGTTTTGCCCTGGCTCATGTCTATTTGGTGTGACCAATCGAGTTGGTTGTAATCAATGAATGGTTTATTTGTGCATCGTTTGATTTATACATCAATTTATTTTGGGATCCTGTGTATACATTTAGGCTAACAATTACATATCATATCAAGACTATTTGATTGAAATGCCCAGTCGTTTATACTCAAGAGCTGATAAACTTGATACTTTTCACACAAGTCAAAAAGTTGCTGCAATATTAAACCTCCAACTTCCAAATCCAAGTGTAAGAACCAAAAGAATGAGTATAATCAACCATCAACAATGGAAATTCATCATGAAAAGGAGCTTCCTGCATCCAACAATGAATAAAAACTCCCTTCACTCCGACATAAATCCATACAGCTACATGAATTCATCAGAAAACGAGTGAGTACTATGATGGCTGTTCTACGCAGAAGCATGGATAACAAAGAGAGAAGGAGAGTACAGCTTCAGGCCTTCGATCGATGGAGCTGGACTCCCAGAGCAATGGCTTCGGGGGCTGACTTGCACACCCAATTATGGAAGCCAGAGAGAAAGAGAAAGAGAGACCATTTTTCTCACGAAGGAGGAGCATGAGTATACCAAAAAAAAGAAAGGGGGTGTAGTACAGGGTACAGCTCTCTGGTGGGTAGTGCCACTGCTGCTGCGCATCTACAGCCTTCTCCTGGGCTTGTTTCACATCATCTTACCCCCACAAGTTCCTGCTCTGGCATACTGCACTGCGCAGCAGCCTTTGTGGTTTCCCTGTGATATTGATCGAAGGCTTCGAAGAGAGAGAAAGACCCAGGCTTCAAATGTTGCTGCTGCTATGCTTTCACACAGAAAAATCAAGCTGCCATTGTATTGATGGCTGAACTAACATGGGCATTAATAATTTCTTGTTTTTTTTTTTTTTTTTTTTTTTTTTCTAAGGTAAGGGTGCATGAAATGAGAAAAAAAATACACACACACATGTATATGTATGTATACAGGAGTGCATTATCCTGGAAAGGTAAAAGATCCTATTGTTCTCTCAATAGGCTGGCTATTGTTAGGGGTAAGCCTATAGAAATATGATTTCATAACTGGAACACATAGTATGGTGGACTCAATGAATGTTAAAAGTTAAATGCCTTTTCACAAAAAGTAGGGTCAAATCATTGTAAATATTTTTTATTTGCTCTAATGATAATAATTTCTGTTATTAAAAAACATAACTATACATATAAAAAAACAAAAAAAAAGGACAAAGAAAAATAATCAGCCAAGGTCTCAGCTCAAGCTTCTGTTGAAGAATCTTAATTTAAAAAAGCATGTAAAAAGGTACAATTGTTGAGAATTAAATTTTCACACACTAATAAATAACTTGAAAAGATAAGAATACAAGTGTATATTAATTAAAAAAGTCACAGCTAAGTAACAATAATAAAAAAAAAAAAGTTACTCTTACTCCTCTCTATTTCAATTCTATGCTTCAAACGGCACAGTAGTGCAAATTAAGAAGTGAAAGGGAACTCATCCAGGCTCTCATGTTTTGAAATTTGATCCAAGCGTGTATAAATGAGTATAAAAAAGAGAGGAGGAAAGGAAAAACCCAAGTACAAGCAGGGGGTAAGAGTGAAAAAAAGAAAGACAGCAAGCCACACATATGAAAAGCTGTCATAATGAATCATCTCAGTTCAGTGCATTCATACCTGAAGACTGAGGGAGGCTCTTCTAGAGCCACTGGTGTACATACCATTTTTGTGCCGCAGATGCCCCGTAGGGTAGATTTTGGAATTCTTTTTTCTACTAACACAGCAATCCCTTATTATTATTATCTCAAGTGAAACTATTATTAATAAAGAATATGATACAGCATACAATAAATGTTCTTTAATGTAGAAGTACAAGAGTAACTGACTATGGTAGAGAGTACAAGAGCAAACTGAGCCGAATGAACAGACTGTGTGCTCTCAGCGTCCTGGTCAGGACTGATGCTGGATCGATGAACACATACAACATTGGGGCGGTAGCAGCATTTGGAGGAGGGGTTGATATACCCAGGACTCCCAACCACTTGCAATATGCCAGCAGAGAATTCTACGCTGGTTGGCCAGCTAGCAGCTTGGGCTGGATTGTACACACTACCCCTTGCACAGCCCTTTTTTTTTTACTCTGCTACACATTATTATTCATACCTAGCTCAAGTACTCTGTCAAGATTGAAAAAAAAAAAAAAAAAAAGCTTCAGACGTTAGTTCAAGTTTGTCCAAACAAGATTGTTACTACAACTAGATACAAGGTAAAATGAAATCAAATAAAGCACATTTATAAAATATATTTATTAGATTTGTAAAAATAGAGTTTTACTTTGTGACAAAGTGAGCTATTGTTTGTCCACAATAGCCTGTGATTTTACATCTATGTATTTTTTTTTTATAAAGCAAAAGAAAACATGATTCAAAGCATTATGTGCTCTCTTACTATTGATTGATGGTGAATAAAAGAGCTGATGGGTATTCTTGCGATGAAGAAAATGAATGTGTACTACATGGAGTTTTACGGAGGCTTATTCCTCTCCAAACCTTCACAATGAACTTTTGTAACTGACAGCTCACACACTTGTAAAAAAAAAATGAAATGATCTACACCACTTATTTAACACTTTAATGTAGTACACATCTTATCTCTCAATTGTATTATCTTGAAGGAATGTCAAAATCAAAATAAATAAGCTTCAAATTTGAACAACTGTCACTGGCAGCAAACATAAAAAACATTATATTTCGAAAAAGAATGTACATAATATTAAAATAACCGTAAATGAACGCATGTAACCAAAAGGTAAATAAATAAACTGAAAAGAAAAAAAATTTTATGCACTAAGATGACTTAACCTCAAAACTGTGCAGTTGGGTGGACTCACGTGGTAAAGCCGCAGCCACAACACAATGCGCATGCGAGAGAGATAATAGATAAGTTGATAAAAATAAAATTGCGATGAAAATAATCAAATTACACACTGTCAAAGTAAGAAATTCGGCACTTTTTAATGACATAAGTGTATTATCTTTTAATTAAATACAAAATGAGAATAAAAGAGTACAGTTTTAAGGGGAAAAGTAAAATAAATTACTGACTGGGAGAGAGGAAAGGGTGGAGGTAAGAAAATAGGTTGGAGACATAGGACATAGAAGCTTCATGAGGATGAGGACTGTTTTGAGTTAATATTAAGATTTATAGCATGATAACTTCTAGTGCTGGAACCAAATTTTACTTAAATTATGAAAAAAAGAGTAAGTACAAGATGGCGTTGAATTCTATACAAATGGTTTGTTGTATAAAGTAAAAGATACAAAATTGTAATTTCGAAAAATAAAAAACAGAGTAGCTGCTAAGCTACTTTTTTGTTTATATTTCTCTTCATTCATTATAATCTCTTTTGTGTTGGCGGCGCCGATTGTTTCAGCCAAAGTGTCAGAGTATAATGTCCAGATGCAGAGAGAGAAAAAGACACACCCTAAAGGAGATATTGCAAGAGGAATAAAAAAAAGGTAACGCGTTAATTAGAGAGCTAAAACTTTCCTGCAGCTTAGCGTTCAAAGGCTTTCACGAGTTTTCAATCGAGTACACTTAATTAGGACGCCTTTTTGCTAGGTTCCCTTTCCGTGACTCGTAGTTTTTCAAAAGGACTTTTGAGATGTCGAGGTTATGATAATTTTTGGAGGACTTGAAGAAGGTGCTCTTCTATCAAAGGTACGTTATTTATCGCTTATTATTTATTCAAAACTATTATGATCATCGAGTGTACTAGTAGTATATTAGTTTTATCAATAAGTATTTCGACTTGGCAACTGATTGGGAGTTAATGTCTGAAAGCTACAAGCCTAAAAGAGGGTGGTGTGTGGTGAGGAAGACTTGTGTATACACAATACACATGACGATACCAAAGGACGTTTTCCATAAAACGCAAACACATAAAAATAGCCGGTATCCTCGTAAAATGCAAAAAAAAAAAGAAAAAAAGAATAACAATCAAGTAGGTACACATATCTATCCGAGGCTGACATCACCGCGAAGAGAAGAAGAAACCAGATTTCGTCGGCGTCTGACTTTTTCCTCGCCTGAGCGCGCGTTAAGTCACCGTAAAAAACGATTATCGGACCCTCCCCCCAAAAAAAAAAAAAAAACCACGTACAAAAATCCCATATTCGCATATACGTGCTTGGCGGAGGGGAAAAAAATGTATTCGTGGTAAAAGTTAGATATGAAAGATAGAAAAGACGCGTGTGGCATTTCTCAAGGGTGGCGGAGCGAATATTTGCGCGAAATACTGCAAATCGCTCATAAACGTGCGTGTACGTGCTCGCTCGGGCGTATACATATATAACATGAAAGGGGGGGGGGGTTGCAGAATCGTCCTATGGACTGTGTTTTTGTCGAAGAATTTTTATTGAATTTCACCGGTGCTCTCTCCGCGAGCGCAGCCGAGATGATGAAAAATATTGCAGGAAAAATGCATTTGTCGATTCTGTAATGGAACCTAGTTTTTTGTCGTACGTGTAGGGTGTGTACAAAATATCAGTTGATAAAATACCGAAAATCCCAAAGTGAGCATGACATCTTGTACCGCCATCACTCGACGGAAGCTCGAAAACTCGGCCTTTTTCATACCCTGACAATGGTATACAAGTTTGCGGGGGGTGCGCGCGAAACTGCCAGCATGTATGTGCCATTGAGGCATGAGCAACGACGGAGGCACTCCTTTGCTCGTCGAGTGCTCGATAATGCACGCGCCTTGAGATAAGGTGGTTCTTGGTGTACAAGCACCGACTGTCGAAAGCAGTTTCCTTTTACCGACTGTTATTTCTAGGATCGATCAAACAGGACGAACTCGCTGGTTATTGATTTTATTTGCTATTACAGTTTTGCTTTATATTAACGTAACAAACAAGTTTGTGATGTACAAATCATTCATTGTATTTTCCCTCGTAATTCAAATTTGATTAAAATTCTGCATAATTTTTTTTACTTCTTTAAATACTTCTTAAAGCATCAACTATGGTCATTTTAGAAATTACTTAACATTGAATGATTGTTCATAATAAATGTGATGAATGATAAGGGAAGCTTAGTAGAAGGGATTAAAGAAAACCTCGCAGGAATGGAAGTTTAACGTATAATTACAAAAAAAAAATTTTTTATTCACTTACAAAGTTTTTTCCAACATTCTTCAAATCATCCAACCAAATCTAATTGTATCAATACATAAATATCGATTAAAACTTAATGTCGAAGCAAACAACTAAAAACTGCAAAAAAAAAAAAATAGCACACCCTATCAGATGGTTTAACGAAGTACTGCAATCAATCTTCATTTCATTTCCAGTCCAAAATTTAACCTCAATACAAAAAAAAAAAAAAAAAAAAACCATGACCGTCTATTAGTTTAAAATATCCCTTTGGGGATTCTTATCATCGATAATTTACCCCGAAACTCTAAAAAAAAACCGCACTCCTTCTCCTCCCCTTCCTTCCTTCCTTCATTCTACCCGCAGAGCCATAAACATTATTTTCGTTTTCGCAACGAAAACGCAGCCGGCCGGCCGTTTATCTCGAATGCGGTTCGAAAGCACCTCTCCTCTGAATATATATA